AGACGAGTACTGGACCGTAGTCCGCTCCACACTGAGTGCATGGAACCACTCTTTGATCCTAACACGGCCACAAGAACCGTGCACTTAGTCCCTTCCAGCAACGACCAACTGTCTCCTAGAGCCAGTATGGACGAGATAGTGGGCAATAGACAGGTAGGCACCTTGTCAACATGCACATCAAGCGCAACCACACCGAGGATGTCAAGCAACAGCCAGTCACTCGAAACGACAAGATGAAATAAAATAAATCCGTTAAAGAATACCGCTATGCAGACATAACTCTTCCCTAAATTACCATATGAAGTAAGTTGGTTAGCAACAAACACGTGATAAGTAAGAAATGTCCACAAGTTACTTAAAAATGCTACAAAACGCAACAAAATTACCGAAGATAAGCGCAATTAGTGTAAGCAACGTGGCCAGTTAATAGAACATTATTCAGGGAGGCAGAACAAACCAAATAAAGCGGAATGAAATTTATCCAGCTTAAAAAGACCTAGTTTAAGTGCAAGTTGGTTTAGTCCAACTGCGGTGAAGAAGCATCAAGAATGCAACATCAGCCTCAGCATGGGGCACATTATATATATATATATATATATATATATATATCGCTTAATTTTCTTTGCTAAGTTGCCATTTCGTCAGCTCTTTTAACCAACTATGAAAAAGTAAAGATCGCGGTCGGAACCGCGCGCCCTTGGTTTATATCGTTCGTTAATTTACAATTATTTAAGGATAGTTTAAAAAATTGTTAAGTATGAATGGAAAATGATAAAAGTGGAAGGGCTTCACAAAATCCAGGCTTTTGTTGTTTAACTGCATCAAGTGATCACAAGAGTTGTAAAGTAGTTCCATTGTTAACTCGCGTGCAGTTTGGTGGGCTCAGAGTTATCGAACGATAGATTGCACAGGGTTGGCCCATCCAGACTTCCGAAGGCATTCGATTGTGTCGAAAAAGAGGCTGGGTGGCGTAGCACATTTCATTCAATGTAGGAACCATGGAATGTGAAAAAGTGCGATAAGGCGCAGGCGGAAAACAGTATAGACCAACGGGCAAATAGTTGAGAATTGCGGGATTGCTCTTATGGTATCAACGTTAATTCGGTCAGCCTCAAAATATCGGCGCTGACCCCAGTGGTAGTGGGTCACTTGTTGGAAATGACGCATAAAAGGTAATGTAACGGAATTCGTACTCAATATCAAAACCACCCGTGATGGAATATTGAGGCATGGTGGACAGATAAGCTGATAGCATGTATGGATCCAACTTACACAGTGGATCGTCACAGAAGAGACTTAGTGTACGCGTGCGCAATCGGTACACCAAACAGAGCCATCCCAGTGTCAGAAGAGGAGTGGATACGGACTCAGTCATCTGGTAATTTGACTCTTTCGCCCAAGTATTCAAATAACACACATAAGACGAGGCCTTGGAATCTGGCTGTGCTCCATAATTCCTATACAACGGGTGTACTAACACACACGGTTTTCGGCAGTATCAAAGCCCATTTGTTTTAACTTTTCAGTATTTTGTTCTGCAACAAGGGACATGATTGTTTACATTCGCGATACTTCATTTTTGCGTCCTTTCTCGCAAATGAATTGGGCACTTTTCTTGGTTAAGCCGTAGGAAACAAATTAAAAAGAGGTAAATAAATTCTATGCAAAAACACCGTGCAGGATGGCGGATTGGACTTCAGAGGAAATATGAGCCTAACTGTTTTATTCAGTGTTAATATTCGATTTCTACTTGGAGAATTAGAAGACCTTGAGTGTAATAAAATGTCGTGAATATTCTCGCTTGGGAATCATTATGCCACAGGAAACTTGGCTTCAGCTGATGCTGCAGATGCAGTTGTGGAACTCGACGGATTTCACTTTTTTGTGTTCACCGCCAATGTACAAAAAAATCACGGTGGTAGCGTTATCATTCACGTTAATTATTCTTGGTGCACGTCGATTAAAAGCATTTTTCTAAACGGCTCGCAACGGATTAGCTATTTAATCGTGAAATGCAAACCAAGATTGGTGAACAGTCATCGATCGATTTTACTGACTAATGCTTATATGTTACCCTTTATCACGATTTAGGACATTGAACAAGTGCATTCTGACTGACGACTATCAACTGTTGTGCCTATTTGCAAGAGAGGTCAGCGTACTTTGTGCGGTAATCATTGAGGCACTAGCCTTATTACCATTGTCCCAAAACCTCCCACGGATATCATTCGACGACGACTTACTGGATCCCGTGATGTCTGAACCAGTGAAATCCAGGCTGACTTCCGCTCTGGCCGTGGTTGCATCGAGCACATCTTTACTCTTCGCCAAATGTTAGAGCAGAGACACACGACCGACAATGGTGGTTTTCCTTAACCTGAAAGCCACCTTCGATTCTCTTGACCGTGCCAGCTTGTGGCACTGCCTATCTATGATGGGCGTGCCAGCTAAACTCCTTTCCATTCTGAAGTCCCCCCTACCGTGATTACCGAGGTCGTGCAAAGGTCTACGGGAAAATCTCCTGAGTTCATCACGACAAGTGCGGTTCATCAGGGTACTCCTATATCTTCTTTCCTCTTCAAATTTGTGAACGAAATGATCATGAAGGACTCGGTCTACGAATACCTGGAGTTCTACTTGTGCATAGTTGCCGGCGATTTTATCAGGTCTGACACCAGCTTCATTGCGAGCGATTGGCTAGATAACATAGTGTAGTCTACAATCAAGTTGGATGTCACACTTTACATAGTATTTGTTAACAATCTGAAAGTGAGTGCTGTTTGTAATCGGGCGTCATTTGGGACTCTGACCATGCCATTGTAAAGTTATCTGCTGTTATCCATAACAAGATGAACCCCCAAAGATCTTACACGTTGCAATGCTTGAAAGTTGAGATGGAGACAATGCCATCCCCAGAACATTCAGCGACTGCGTGAAACAATTGCCATCACAAGTTTTAGTTTATCCTATGAAGCAGACGTATCTAAGTATTGTGACCAGTTGCCCAATTGAAACAATTTTTTTGTGACGATAGGTTCTCGTCTCAACATCTTGAACGACTGCATAGGCTTAAAGAGAAGGCTTCTAAAAACATCAGCAAAGTCCATATCGATTGAGATGAATATCGAATTGCGTCGCCACAACAATATCTACGTTCGAACCATCCTCGGAAACCATAACTATCATGGAAAAGGGAAGACGTTGAAAAATTTAAGCGAAATCACCCGCGAGATCACGCATTCAACTCAGGATGTGGAAAAACTAAACCACAATTTTGTGACAAAGATAGTACTTCATCCCTTCATATATTCTGCTGAACCACAGCTAGCATCAGACAACTCTGCTTCTGTGAACATAGGGAATTAATAGGGTTGGAAGTGAACAAAGTACCTGGTCCGGCTAAGTTGTCTCCTGTAGTTCTCCAGGAGTGTGCAGATTACCTGGTGGAGCCCCTCGCCGACTTGTAGACGCAATGCTTCAAGCAGCACAAGATAGCTGACATTTGGCTAAGCGCAAGCAGTCACGCCAGTGCCAACAAAGAAAGGAACCCGTAAATATTTAATGATCGCTTGCACGTCGGTTGTTCTGAAGATCTTTGTGAGGCTTTCTTAAAAGGATTTCATCACAGACCCATTTGGATGTCCCTCATCAGTTTGTATATCGCACCTCATGGTCCACTCTAGATGTCTGGTACATACTGTGCTTTCGTCAATGGGTAATGAAAACAAGTCTATCCGCATCTGCTTGCTGAATTTCAGCAACGCTTTCGGTTGTGTAAACCGTGAGCTACTGTTGCGCGAGCTATTAGGTTCTGGAGTTCAAAATTATGTTGTTCTTCTGTTGGAAGATTATTTCACTCAGCGTACCCAGTTTAGCAGGTTAGTGGGAACTCTTTTTCACGCACCACGAAACCTGGTGTTCTTCAGGGAGCCATTTTGTCCCCATTCTTATTTTCCAATTACGTTACCTCGATTCCCGTCCCTGAAGAAGCCATTCTGCTAAAGTGTGTAGACGATGTAACCTTTGGCGTCCATCGTCCAAGCAGAGACGTCAGCCAAACTATAAACCCTCTTGGACAACCTCATAGCTTGACCCAAATCTCGTTGCCAACCGTTAAACACCTCAAAATGCAAGGAATTCCTTTTTTTGCCGTTCGAAGAAAATCGCCAAAGCAAATCCTAACGCAGTGTCCAAAACTTTGCATTGATGGTGAATGTTTGACCTATTCCACCTCAGTGCAAATGCCTGGGAGTGACACTGACCATTGGGTTTACGTGGCCCCTTCACGTGAAGGAAACATTCGCTAAAGTTAGAAGACCCTCATTCTATGTTACACGTCGCAGGTCCTCTTTCGTGCCCCGATTTTTGTTCCAGCGTTTTGTCACTGCGTGTGTGTTACACTACCGGACCTACTGATCTCGCGTGACCTTTCAAGGTCTCCTGAGTAAGGTCCTCTAAGTAGTTGCCAGATAAATGTAGCATCTATCCCGATGTAGGGGCATTTCAACCCATGTAACAAAACTAGCATTTAAAATTCTCACTGATGTTAGCCGCCCCCTTTCACAGAGAGTTGTCCGCGTACGTATCAACCTCCTCGACCAGATAGGGCTAAAAAAATATGTACGCCGCACAAGGGTCTATGGTGCATCAGTAGTTCGAGGCCTGTCACGTTTATTGAAGGATAAAAATTCAGTCATTGAACATGCGGTCAGTGTATTACTACAGCGATATTTGCTCTGCCAAGCTATTTTTAGCGATTGCGATTTATATCTATCCAATGTATTAACCGTTTCCGTTATTTATCATGTCCGTGGTGTGTGTGTGTGCGTTAGAGCTGGTTATATACCGTTCACGGGTGCATAAAGCACATTCTTGACTTCACATAGTCACACACGGAGTCGGAAGTGTGTTCACGCAGAGGATAAGTCGCGACAAGGGGATCACAAGGCATAAAAACATCGTCGCCTAGTAGCGGTACGTGCTGATGGGAGATAACTCACTTTTCTGCTTTTTCTCTTTCGACCAAACAGCCAGCGATAGCAGCTGCTGTGGCGGAGTCGGACCGCCAGAGCTGGTAGGCAGTGCACCTCCTGATCGGAAGGATGTGTTAAGCAAGTCTGCTCCGGGAACGTGCGGTTCGCCACCACGAATGGTGGTATAATACTGGGTGGATGTGGACCCAAGGGTGATGACCAAACCACGGCAGATCGACTTCATAGTGACTCGCCGGGGATGCACGACGTCGGCCAAAAGTTGCGTGGGCGTACTGACAGATGAGGATGAGAGTAGGGCAGGGTGAGCGGAAGGAGAGGTGGTTTGGGGCGGCGGCCCAGTAGCGGGGCTAGAACCGGTTGAGCCTACAGAAGAGGAGCAGCAGCAGCAGGAACAACCCAGTATTCGAGCTGTAAATCCCAAAATCGGGAGCCGAGAGACATGTTCACACTGGATGAAGTGGTCGAATGAGCTCTGCGTGTGGTGAGAAAAAGGGAGATTAAACAATGGTCAAGTCATGCGATAGTGTGTCACAGGAAAGATAGGCAGTAGAGATGAGTGAAAGAATGTGGGGGAGGGGGAGATGCGAAAGAGCAAATTTGAACGCAGAAGGCGGCCAAACACACAGATCAACCGGAGTCGGAGATAGTTGCACAAACAACACAGCTATTGCAGACTGGCGAGCTCAAAAAAATGCAATTCGCACAATTTTGCGCAAATGGCTTAAATTGGAGAGAAATGCGAGACAACTGCCATGATACCAAGGAAGAATACGACCAAGGATGATAAGATATGCAGGTGGCCCATTGTTAGCGCAGCGGTAATGTGAATGAAGTGTAGCATTATGCTGCGAAATGTCCGCTCGTGGTGGGTTAACTAGCGCATTCAAAGTGCGTGAGCACAGACGCACATGAGGTCGATCGACGGCACAGCTCCACATCCATCCGGTTACTGCAATGATTGTTAGAGGATAGGCAAATGGGGTGAACAAATTTTCGAGAGTCCTTTTGCTGTAACTAATCGCAGGTGTAACGCAAACCTCAGCAAATAAATGATAAGACAAAATAAACAAGCAAGGATTTTCTATCGTGATGTGATATAAATATTTCCGACAATCGATCAATCAAAGGTGATCGATACTTTATGTCTATATAAGCTCGCTTCACCATCACGTGAGTAGTGGTCTGCGTGTGCTTGACCTAGCCGTTATCCATAGCTGGCCTTCTGAAAGCGTTCTAGGAAATAAACCATCTTACCATCTCTAGTCCAAATTTGGGGATCGAGACAACTCCCCGGTAGACAGTATAAATAAACAAATAAAATGTTTATTCTGGACTGCGCGAGACACACCTGCACAGGCATGATCATAGTAAGAGTAGAAAATGTGATCAGTCAATGTACAAGAGAACAATAGGATTGTCACATATGTTGATATATGAACGCATGTGGGTGTGTGTAGCCGTGTTTATGGGGTTTGTAAATGCCTTGATGCACTTTTGATCGTGTCGCCCGTGCTAAAGTGATGCATGAGGTTTGTGGACTTGAAGCGGTTGTCCGGATAATCAAGGGGTGACTTTAGTTGGTGGCGAGTCACAATCGCCATGTTACAAGGTTGTTAAACAGACATTTGTGGCTTTCTTTAAATAATAATAGTAAGAATGCTTGGGGGTGAATAAGCAAGAGTTAGGATGTCAGGTGAAGTAATTGAGTTAGAAACTAGAGAGCTAATAAAACAGCAAACCGGACTTTGTGATTACGACACATCAAGCAGTATGCCGAACCATTGTTGTGACCGACTCCGATGTCGAAAACTTTAGGAAGACGATAAAGTACAGTAGCATCCAGTTCCGGACATGCCTGCCACTGCGGTCTCCATAAGACAGCCACAAGACGCCGGCGCCTACACAGGGACCACGGGTGGCTTGCGCTGCAACGCCCACACACCCCATATCCGGTGTAAACCCGAAGGAATAAGACCGGGAGCATGGGGATGAGAACCATGCTTCATCAGTAGAGGGGTGCGGATGGGAGCCACGTGTTATCAACGGAGTCGGCCCACACACCTTCAATAAGCAGAACGGAAACATTCCGACTTAATTGGGAGATCAGGCGTACCAGGCGTGTACAAGGCGGTGGATGGGCCGTAACCCGTTCCACACAGGATGCATAGAACCACTCTTTAAATCTAGTACCGTCACGAGAAAGGTGCACCCCGTCCCCTCCATCAACGACCAACTGTCTCCGGGAGCCAGTATGGATGAGGTGGAGGTTATTAGATTGGTAGGCACCTTGACTACATCCACATCAGGCGCAGCCACACCAGGGAGCCCAATCAACATCTAACCCCTGAAATGCAAGATTACTCATCACGCAGGCAAACGTACCACATACGCCGCCTTATTGACCTGAATTAGTAAAATCGAATGGGAGCGTACGCATCGCGCTTCTCTTCCGCGTGCAAAAGTGCATTCTCCTGCAACCGGGCAACCGCCGTCTTGATCAGCGCACGGAATTCGCACCGATCAGCTTTGCCTTTGATTCGCAAAACATGAAATCAACATTAGTTTGTCATAAAGCGACCTTGTTCATGTCCTGGTAACGTTATCTTTGGTTTACTTGCACTAAGTTGGCCGTACAAAGGCCGTATGAGTGTCCTCGTCGAATTCATTCGGTATACATATATACAGGGATTGGCTTCATCCGTGTCCAACGACAGTTTGTAAACAACATATGCACATGTGTTTGTCCAAAAGTTAAGTGTGAAATGCCACCAAGTTGATAGAGACACGTTAAACCTCATGAACAATAGTCCAACAAACGTGCATGGGTTTCGTTCGGAGGTCAGGCTAACAGACATATTCGCACGCATGAGAATAAGTACCCAATACGAACTGTTGTGTTCTCTTTAACATGCAGATGTGAACGTAACTGACAACCTTAAATCATGGACATCCATCTTAGAACGAAACCGATATAGGAATAGTGAAGCAACTGCCATCAGTACGGTTACTAGGTAGAATGATTAATAAACAAATGACTGGCTAGCCGAACAACCTCCTCGTGGTGCCAGCTGGGTGGTTCGGGTTTAACCCCTTCCAGCAAATAGTTCGGCGGCAGTGTTCCAGGACGCGGTGGGTGTTCGCCTGGCAAGCGTTCTCCCTATAAAAAGCCACAAATGCCTGCTTATCAACACTGCGACGTGGCGGATGTGACTCGCCACAAACTAAAGTCAATGGCCCGTGGATATCCGGAAAATGGTATCCAACCCACGGACATCAATCGCTTATTCTCACATTCCTGACGATAACAAACAGTCAAAAATGCTGTGGCACATTCAAAAACACAAGCTACATTCATATACAATTACATAAGTATATGCACCCATACACTTACATACACTGTCATGCCAAACATATACTTTCGTACATATTTTATCACACTAAGTTAGCTAAACATGATCATGCCTGTGAAGGTGTGCCTCGCCTTGTCGAGAATAAAAGTTTATTTATTTATTTATTTAAAGTAGTGTGTACTTGGGTGTTGCCTCCTATATGTACAGTCTGGTTTGTGTAGCTGATGGGGGAGATCGCACAGCGTGCGAATGCGATGGGGTGTTCACTTCAGGCTCTCCGTGTCGCAGACCGGTCCGATCATCTGCTGCCAGAGGAACGTGCGGATTCTCAAAGAACGATTTTTTGGGTAACCTTAAGCATCGACAGGTAGCAATACCACATATACGCCGCTTACGGCCAAGTTGGCACGACAACAACCGTAGTACTACATCTACTAAGTCCCGCTGCCCACTGTCAAACATGCGGCTTTCCAGTGTTCGCATTGTTTTGCAAATGTCCAAGTGGTAGCATGGCTGTCATCAAAGTGCTCAACCGTTCGTACACACTGCTGTTGGCAAAAGCTATTTGGTAACTATCTGCACCGTACGTCTCGGGTGCAACCATTCGGTGCTCCCCAAACCAACAATTGTCGCTATGCGCCGATTTCTTTCCGATGTAATCTACTAAGACACTGACGTGCAATTCCCGCTGGCCTTACCTTTTTCATAATCTACGCAAAAGAGTGGCCATGTCCAATTCAACTTCCATTAGGCACCTCTGCGCTTTTGCCTTCAAGCCGCATAGTGGCTACGTTTTCATAAGCGCAGATAAATTCAGTATGGCTGATGGACAAGGAGGAAATCTAACTATGCTCACCCTCATCATTAACATGTGGATCGGAATATGAACAGTTGACATCATGATAACCGCTAGCCAGTTAATTGTCGGGATTGTTCACTTGCCACGGATATCCCAGGGTGGTTGCTGTTCAGATGCATAGTCCAACGTGATCACACGAAGGACAATACTTGAGCATTGTATTGCAAGTTGTAAACTTTACACTTTATGCGTACGGCACCGATAACTTTTGAGTCACGTGTATCCACCGAACTGGAAACATACTCAATAGTTTACCATCCTAGCATTGATATGTATCAACGACTCAATTCGCTGGGAAATTCCGCGCGCACGTCAAGCACGAATGAGCTTATGCGTGGATTGAACCTCTATCCAGCGATGCAACGGCTGTCTAAGCGTCGTGCTTGTTAGCATTGGACAACTGGTCAAGCTAGGGTCCAGTAATTTACAAATCGATTTCAAGGAGCAGAATGTAGGTAGCATAGTCTGGTGAGCGATACCATAGTGATGTGAATTTTGGCGGAATAATAATAATACGAAGAGGAAGATGCCGTAGCTCACCGCCTCGGTCGGTCACCGTACTAGACACCAGTTGAGAAGGTAGCAAGAATAGCATAGGTCATGATGAGTACAACAGTGTAGTGTGCAAGGCTATGAAATCATCGCGAAATACAACCGAGTTAAGTAAGCCCAATAAAGGTAGGTTAGATATGGCTCTTCCGTCTTAGACCGGTGCAATAAAGATACTGCATTGCACCAAGTTAGTAGTTAATCATTCTAGAGTGCAACTGTACCCAAGTGCGACTTACATGAGCGATAGAATATGGAGGACACAAAGAAGATGATGGAGATGGAGTTAGAAACTTTACAAGTTATTGGGGGAAATGGTGCGCTTAAGTTCACTGATTTTCATAAGCTCAGCTAAGTTAAAGTCCGCGGTGAAAGAACGTGAATTATAGCTATGCTCACGTTAACGAAGAGGTCGAAGCACTGTGGAACAGTGATGACTAATCGTTGGTGTGTGCTGTGAATACCTTCTATATTAACTGCAAGCTATCCGTGTCGGAAGGTACGTCCGAGCCGGTTATGATCGTCTCTTGTACGAGGGAAGCGAGAATTAACAGGTGTGTGGGACCACCAGGCAGTCAGTAGTGTGTTAATATTTATTGCCCCCTTGGTCGCCCGTTCTGGGCTCTAACATATCTCGACCATTTCATCAGTGCCGATAGTGCTGCCTGTGTGCAAGCATTTCGACTTGGATGTCACATCGTGTTGCAACTGTTC